TCCACAGATTTCAGAAATCTTATGACACAAATTATAAATACTGAAGACGATGGCGGTGATATGTGATGCTTTTTGTGTGGGCCAGCTGAATATTCTGGCATACACCGTTACCTGTAGCAGCTTTGCCTGCTCTCACCTCCCTATTTAACACTGATGTGAATTCCACACAGAATTCACACTGCTTTTCTGAGAAAGCTTTTAACAATTGTCCTCTCTCACAATGAAGTGTCCCTTCTCTTGATTATTTTGGTGCTTATAGTCAATATTATATGTCTTAGCACAAAATAAAGTATTACTTTATCCTGTGCCTTTCCAAGCCTTCCTTGTTCCCAGTAAAATTATGCATATGGACTAAATCTTCTATTTTTTACATTTTCAGTGCCTAGTGATTTATACTCATGCAATATTTATTACTTGTGTAGAATAATTTCTATCGATCCTAAGGATATCATTATCAGTAACTATATTTACTTATTTTAAAAAATGGATCTTTGTGCTATTTCATATATACTCAGTGCCTAGATTAAATAGTTTCCCGATTATTTCCCTACCTTCTTCATGTAAATATGCACAAAGAAGCAAATATTTATTGTAAGGGAAATGAGGTACACTGTCTAAGCTGGGTGTCAAGGGATCATTAAAAATAGGCTCTTCAACTTTAATCTATCAACTAAGGTTACATAGCTATTTTCTCTGAAATAAATACAAGAAAGCCTTTAAAAGCATTTAAAACTTATATATAGGGAATATGTCTTCATTTCTACCAAACAATATCAATGTTATTGAGTTTCAAAATCTGATCTTAAATTGAAATCTTTATTCATTTAAAGACAAACTTTAAATCAGGATTTTGATGGTCAGGCCAATTTTGAAATTTCATCGTTCAGCAACAAATATCTCTGAGCAGGTTCTCTCGCCTCTTTAGTCACTCAAAATAGTTCCTTGTTTCCAAACTTTGTGAAAAAGCTTGTGAGTAAATCATTTCTAAAATGACAGTTTTTTCTTTACTTCAAAAACTAAACGGCATATTGCATGCTTATTATAGATATGACATTGTGTTAATTGTACCATGGATGATGTAAAAGACTAAAATGCCATCTATATCTGGGTTGACTACGTAATTTATCACCAAACTAGAACAGTTTTGAGAATGAGAGGGGAGCTATTATAATTATGCCAAGATGATGGGCACAGATGGATTGTCCAGGGAAAATGGATGGATGGTCACCTATAACATCTGGATCAGGTTCCAACAAATTACCACAAACTGATGGCTTGAAACAACAGAAATATATTATCACACAGTTTCAGAGGCCAGCACTCCTCACTAAAGCAGTGGCACTGGGCAGCAGTGACATGGTGACAGGCTGTGCTCTCTGGAAACCCTAGGGGAGAACCCATTTCTTGCTTTCCCAGCTTCTAGTTACTGTTGTGTTCATGGGTTTATATCTGCATACCTTCAGTGTCTATATCTGTGGCCACAGGTCTCCTCCTCTTCTGTTTTTATGAAATCATCCTTTTCCTTTCACTTATAAGGACATTGTGATGGTATTTAGTACCCACCCAGATAATCTAGAATAATCTCTCCATCTCAAGATCCTTGACTTTACCACATCTGCAGACTCCTTTCCTTACTGCCTGCCATTCTATCCATGGCATTAAAGTATTTATGGAATTACTAAAAAATAAAAAAGTTGCACTTAAGAAATTAAAAACCATAGCATGAAATATTATGTTTCAGAATCCACAAGTGTATGAAATAATAGAAGACACAGAAGTCACTTCACTTTGAGACAACCTTACCCTTAAAGATAGGGGGAAATTGGAAACGTGGAGGAAGGCATTCCAGACAGGTACCACACCAGCAAGAATTTGGAGGATGAATGAAGAGAGATGTTTGGAAGACAGAAAAGGATATGACCCTGCTTTTAAACCACATTCATACTGAGAGCAGTGGGATAAGATTGACATTAGACTTCTGGTTTTTCCTTATGCTGAGCTTCCACATCTTTCTACTGTATTTACCTCTCTCTCATTTTCTCTGTCAGTTAATCCTCTTTCAATTTCCATGATTCATTGTTTATTTTCCTCCTTTGATAAGTTTTATGAATATACTTCCACATTCTCTTCAAATTCTACTTTTCTTGTCTTGCCAGTGTGATTTCTATTCTTCTGCATTATTGTTCTTACTACTATACTTTGCAGAACTTTTTGTACTAGACTATCAGTTCATTGAAAGAAAGGGTCATGCCATGTGTGCCTTTGTGTCTCCAGAATTTTATTAACACAGGGTGTAATTTCCAGAGTATGCACAACAAATGGTGTTTGAATGAATGGTATATAGGTTTAATCAACCTTTCACCCAAGGTTCTTTAATAATAGCAAAAGTAGTGAAGGAGGTGGGATGGTGAGGGTATTGGTACTTGTTTAATTTTATTTTGTCAGGTAGTAACCCTTTTTCTAGTTTACTTTCCATTTTTATGCTCTTCTTTCACAAATGAGTGTGAAACTTCTCAGGCACCTTTTGGCCTAGTCTAATAATTTTACCCTTCTTCTACTTAGGGGCAAACACTAAAATCAGCACTAATAGAAATCTCTCTATATATATAGTATATTCTTTCTAAAGACATTTAGAGATTATGTAAATGATTTTCCTCTCTCAGTTTCAGGTATGATTTATCTCACTTCCACTTTCCTGTTCAGCCATTTTTCATAACCTACCCAATGTATCTTGTTCTGCTTTTAGGCAGTTGGGAAATCAGGGACTGGTAACTTGCTCTTGATGGTCCATGAATGATATTAGCTTCTGGATGCTATAATTAAAGATGACTTAAGTAGAAGAAATTAAGTATCTGCCCATTAATAAGCAAGGTGATGTTCATAAGCTGCCGTGTCACCACCAAGCTCCTAACTTCAACCCCAGCAGCTTTCCATTAAAGTAGGGGATTAACTGTTAGTGTATCACAGTGGAAGGAACTAGAAGAACAGTTCCTTGGGTCCCAACAACAAATTACTTCTGAATCAAACCTCTGATTAATAGCTCCAGAGTTGCCTCTCTGCTTTGCATAATTAAGTTTCATGGAGTGTTACAATTAACAGCCTTGCCATCACCCAGGTAGAAACAGCCACCATTTATTTGGCCAGCAGCGTCAGAAAGTGCCGGTGGTGAATAAGAAGCATTTACGAGAGGATTAGGTGCATTCTGGGTCATAAATTGAATAAGGCTATAATTACCTTCCAATAAAAATCTACAAACATGATCCCATGATACTACCGCAAGTTCCCTTTCCTTTCTTCCCCCCACTGGTGTGGATGTAAGAACTCCTTTCCCTAGCCAAATAATAGCTGTGTCATTGAGAATCTTATGGATATGCATGAAAGCTGACAACCTCCTCTTTCTAATGTGTCATGGCCTTTCTGAACCTACAGTGCATAGCTTGTTTTATATCGTTTATTACGGCTGCATTTGTTATCACACAAGTAGTCGGACAAGCAATGCAGATGTCAGGTAAGCTTCAGACTCCTGGAATTACCTGGGAAGAAAGCCAAGATGTCATTAGAACTACTGGGATACAACAAAATGCCAAGTACTTTGTTGGCAGTGAGCAGGCCAGGAATTAACCATTCATCAATTCTGAGGGATTAAAATATGACCAGAAAATGTTTTTTTAGAGGATTTTTTTTTCCTGCAGAATGACATTTCTCTGACACAGTTCCTCCCCTGACCAATATCATTTAGATAATAAGGCAGATGGATCAAAAGTAGCCATTGTCAGATGAAATCCTCTGTTCTAGTCAAGTCTTCCTTAGATCAATAGGGTTAAAGGAAAGAATAATGAGGTTTTATATGTGTTGGGTGTTTCCATGCCCTATACTTGTATAATGTTATTTAATGAAGACTTTGCTTCTAGTATTTGTTTACCTTCATCTTTTTCCACCTCTCTTACCTCCTTATTCCCTTTACTATCTCTCTCTTCCTCAATTTGCTCATCTCCTTCCTTCTCCTTTCTCTTATTCTCCATGTCTTTCTTCTTAACTATGTTTATATTGGGTCTGAGATTTAAATCAAGTGAAAAAGAAAAAAAGCATTGTGAAACTAGAACTCAATTCTGGAACTACTATTCTCTACATGTGATTTTGGGCTAGCTGACTAATCAAACTGGGCCCCAGCTTACTTATTATTTCTTTCTTTCTTTCTTTTTTTTACAAAGGAGGAGGAGAGAGAAAGGATAATAGCTGTTCTATTCACAATAAAATGCTGCAATGAAAATTAAAGGAGATAGCGTCTATGAAAATCCTTTATAAATTGTAGAGAGTGCTACAAATTCAACTTGTTTTTGTTGACCTTCTAATGAATGTTTTCAGAAATTTTACTAGGATTTAGAGCCATGCATATTTAGAAAGAAAAAGAAAGGGGGGGTAGAGACCATGCTCTAGACAAATTGGGTGCCTCGTTATGCACTTACTAGGAGGAAAATGCTGCCATTCCTGGCTAAAAAGCCATTTGTCTTGCAAATTTCTATAATGAACAGATTTTGGAATAAATACCATGTAATCTGTGATGACAGTTCTCTCATTTCTTTTTTATTAGTTCAATCTTCTCAGCATCTGAACCACATAGCGACAGAACCTCCATAATCATTAAGGCAGCTGGGTCGTATGCAATTTTTCCTTTTTCCTTGGCAGATAACCGACTCCCTAGCCAGTTTCTTGTTACCAGGCCCATGTTCTAGTAGTTAAATGCACTATATAAGAACATCAGGACAGAAGAAAGAAAGAAAAAAATAAACAGCAGGATGACTTTGCAACAATGTACCATTTACCCAACTGACCTTTACTTGGTCTTAATATTTAAAAACTGGATTTTACCTGGAGCTTGTGGAGAACGTTGAAATGCATTAAGCATCACTTAGATTAAAATAGATCATCTCAATGGACCATGATGTAGTTTCAATAAACTCACTTTTTTCTTTATTCCTTTTCCTTTTGTCTTTTCCTAGGTAAGTGATATTTTGGTTATTGTTTTGAGCTTCTTCAGGAGAGAGCTCAGAGACTTCCCCAGCTCTCATTTATGTTGGAAGATTGTCTTTGGCCAGTTACTATTCATCCTGCCCAAGTGCTTCTATTTCATCTCTTGGCTCCAGCAGCTCAGCGGGGCATATAAAGGTATGGCTGTTCACTGTTAATGGGTTTGCATCTGTTCCTGGTAAAAGGAATGCAAGAGTTGGATCCTTGTCAATGATACAATTATGAGAAACTACAGGGAACTGAATGCCAAATAACAAACAATCAGCTTTTTACTTCCACACATCAACTGAGTATATGGGTTCTCAAGAATTCTATATTAATCTACCTAATAAAAATGAACTTCATAAAATATCTATATGAATTTTAAGAATTTAATTTCTACCAATGGCATCACAAATACCTTTGCCTTTTTGTTTAAAAAAAAAAGAAAAAGGGTTTAAATGTATTTTGTTTACCAGTTTGTACCATGGTTGGGTATGAGAATGGTCAAGTATCACCATATTTCCAAATTATGGAGTTTGTCATGCTTTTATATATATATAATTGAAAACAATGTTTAAAGAACATAGAAAATAAATGCAGAGAGACAGTGGACGCTTCCATTCTGAGGACAGAAATGTTATATTTTCTCTGTGTCTATAGCTTTGGGCACATTAATGCACCTCCCATAAAAGTTACTGCAGAAGTGTGCTATCCACTCTAGGATCATTAGGATCAGTCTTTAATGGAATTGTGGAGAGGATTTCCAGGGTCATGAACCTTAGCCTATAGCTTCTGAAGGATTTTTTGTTTGTTTGTTTGGTTGGATTTTTTTGTTTTGTTTTTCAGTTGGTTGTGAAGGCCAAAATGTGAGCTAGCAAACAAGGACTGAATCTGTCCCTGGAACAAACTATGGTGGTACACTAAAAAATTTACTGTAGTCCTGGCTGTATAGAAAATATAGATATGAATATAGTAATATACTTTGAGTATTTATACTGGAAATCCCCCTATCCCCTGTCAGACCAATGGAAACACTGACCAGGTTTGGCGAAAGGAAGTTCTTTAAGAGAACAAGCCCTTCCTTCATCCTTCCAGTCCTATATTACTCATCAACACTTTTTTACACCACAGCACTACATATCTAGGCTATTTTCTTTGTGAGGCTAAATAAATTGAGCATCTCCGTTTACTTGTTAAAAGATTAGTTTTAGAAAAAGTAAAATCCTGATTCTTGTGCACATAGGAAATGAACAAGTATTAAATATTTTATTTAACTCATTATTAATGAAAACAGCATGAAGATGTTATATATGTTCCAAAATGTAAATCAGAGTCATGCAAATGGACATGGAATTGACATCAATTTATAAATGGATACAGAACTCTTTCCCTCCCCACCCCCCGCCAGAGAAAGAAATTTGAAGAAACCTTACCCAGACAGAATTTATTTTCATGTCTATAGACAAAACTATTTTGCATGACTATCAATTATCTGCAATTTCCAGAGTTGCAAAATAGCTCAAGGGCAATGAAAGGCGAGAATGAAATAACCCAGTAGGGTGTGCTTTAAAAAATACGTTGCTTTCTACTGAAGATGCTCAATAATTATTTTTGCTTCATTCTAATGTACTTATACACTTAAAATCATGGATTTTAAAATAGGAAGTCACCATCTACCACTTTTCAGGTTCTAATTATCTACATTTCTATTTATTAAAGTTCAGATCTGTGTAAAGTCTGTAGTTTCCACCTGCCTTCGATTTGGTAAACATACCTACCCCAGTTTCTCTGTGAATTCCTGGAATACCTGGTTTCACCCCTATAATAAAAGAAGGAGTTTTTAATATTTACATGGAAAAGCACTGATTCATAAGAAAGATTTGCCCAACAAATGAAGAGATCTTTAAAGCTATGCATTAATTAGATGTTCTTTATTCTGGTTATTTACTGAGTGACATTATCAAAATACCCCTTCTATGGGGAAGAATATTGGTTTGAAACTTTCTGTTTTCTTTTGCCCTTGTAGCATTTTGTCCATATTAATTCTTCAGACTGTTTGGAGAAACATTCCTCAGATATCATGGTTGATCATGTAAATGGAAAACTGATGTGCCCATAATATCTTAGCTATGTGAAGTGTTTGTTCAAATGTGGATATGTATCAAGGGACTCACTCTTCAGATTGGGGCCATCTCCCCAAAGAAGAAGGGGCCAGATGAAAAAGGGTGACTCAAGCTGAAGAGAGATGTGAGCATTGCCCTGGAGCTGTAGGATGCCTCCTTGGTGTGGCATCTTGATCAAGCCTCAGGGGAGCCTGTTGGTCTGCTCCACCCATGGGTTGACTGACACCCAGCAGATGTGTTTGTGTTGCTTCTGCGTGTTCGTTTGCTTCTGCATGACTCTGCATCATGCTACTATTGCTGATGAAAATCTCTCAGTGGGCTAGAGCTGTGGTGCCACAAGGACCCATATTGATGACTTTTCAGAGGGGAGGTGCTGCTTTCCACCACTTCCCAGAAAAATCATATAATTTTCAGGCTTAGCAGTTATCACTGAGATTTCCCTAACTCCTCTCTTAAGGAAATCCCAGCTGTGCCACTGAGACAAGTTTGAAAGTGAAAGAAAAGTTCCAGTATTTTTCTTCTTCATAAAACATCTGGATTTTTTTTTTAAACTTTTGAGTTTTTTGTTTTTAATCAGTCTCTTCAACTAAGACTTCCCACTGACTTGCTTACACCCTAATAGGCACCTGTGTGCTACTGGATTTCCTGTGTGGGATTCTCTTAGAGATCAGATCTCATGATTGCTATTAGGTACTATATGTCAGCCTGAACTTTAGTATTTTGATGTGAGTTGGGATCCACCAGTTTGGTTGACTTAACCAAGACAGTAAAGGTGAACATCAGCTGCATTTAGTCCAGATCTATTTACTATTTTGCAATTTGTTTGTTAGCTTCTTCAATGACAGATGCAGGAATAAAATATGAAGAGTAGATCCTAAATGTTTATTTATTTATTTCTTAGCAAACAACTTTTACTACAATTACATGAAGATCCCCCAAATTTCTAAGAATGACCTGTGGGATATACACATGAGATGAGTACCCATTAGTCTGAAATCTACTTGCTTTACCTAAGGGTTCATGTTGTTTTGAGACAATCAGCTTTCTGACTTTAAGTTCTGAAAAACAGAAAATATTTTGTGAATAGATGAAGTGTGACCCCAGACACTAGCTTCCTCTCCAGCTATGCACTATCTTTCATCACAGAGCTAGTATCTCAGAAAGACAGATGGAAATCCAAGAAGACAGGGATGAGGGCTCAAAGAAAGAATGTGGGAAGTTATGCTCCTCCTTTGTGTGTGTTTGCTTGGGCTCCTGTTTATATCTTGTTCCTCTCCTTCCCTGTCCATAAACTTTATGCAAATCTAAAACTACTGGAAATGTTGGACAAAAGTTCTCCCAGACTAAAGCGCAGGATAATCTGGCTAGCTGTGTCTCATTAAGCTGTGTATATCAACATTCTCAGACTTTTTTTTATAGAACAAATAGCTAACTTGGAGTGAAACAACCCCTGTAGCTCTCTTCCCTTCTTTCTTCTTTTGCTCTCAATATTATGAACCCTCCTCCCCTAGTTCAGTCCAGACCAGAGCATCTCGGGTGTGAATTTTAGTTGCAGATTCATTTCTGGAATCATGATGAGAAGTCACAAGCAGAATGCAAAGTGGTGGGGAATGAGATTTAGCTTCCTTATGTAAGTCTGCAACTCATTCACCCAATATAATTTTTCTTGGAGTCCACATATTATCTCACTCTAGCAGATGCAATAAGGTAGGAATACAAGGATACTTGGAATGCAGTATATTAAGACATGTTTTGGAGCCAGGTAGAGGGTCACTGGCTGGAAATGTTAATCATAGTAACCACCAATGTGTTGACTGGCATTCTATTCACCTCTGCCTTGGGGAATTGAAGCACAGCATTGGCTGATATCATTCTAATTCAGGTTATTATTGTTATTATTATTATGTTCCTTCTGGTAAATGCATGAAACTACATCTTTTTTTTTTTTACTGGGGAAAATATTCAAAAAATAATACTGAAGGGATCACAGCCTAGTCACTGTGCATATGTTGATTATAAAAAAAGAAATTCCTGGAGGGGATGAAGGGGACATTTTGAACCTCTAGGAGATTTTCTGGATGTTGGAAAGAAACTGAGAAGCTACAATGAAAAAAGCAATATTGCATCTCTATTGCAATGAGCTTTTCTAGGAGCTGAAAAAGGCATTATTACTCTTGGAGAAAAGAGCTCTCTTTTTTTCCCCCTCCTTTTTGATTTAGACTTCTGTGAGCCAAAGTGCTCTGGTGTTTTAATGGTCTGTTTTAAAGATGGAAAGGGCCCTTATGTGTCAGAACACAACCTGTCCCAGCCAGCACGGGGCTTTGTTTGATTATGAAGCTTGTTTGGGATAGATGATATTTTTATAGCTTCTGCTTTGCTTCACCGACGGCCATATTGATGTCGCTCTCCAGGACGGGCCTAATAAATAGTTTATAAAACTGTAAGGCCATTCTCTTGGGTAATCTACCACTGTGCTTTCACAGACTGCAGATCGCACATCCAGAGCCAGCTGGTTTCTCACACACAAGCCAACCACGGGGTGGAAGGTTTTGTGTGTGTGTGTGTGTGTGTGTGTGTGTGTTATGCATACACCTTCAAAGCAACCACTTGAAGTTTCCTATGAACACTTTGGAAGAGCAGCAGAGAGTAAAATACTGAGACTGGATGTTTCATTAACATCGCTCAATTTGTGCTCAGATGCTGCTGCTGCTGGGATGTCTGATGTTCACTGAGCAGCTGTGGAAAACCCTCCCAAAGTGGTTTAAGCCTCTGTGATCTCACCATTTGCCAAAGGGTCAAGAAACAGGGACTTGGGAGCAGGGGGAGGGCCTGGAAGTGGGCAAGCTGGCTTCTCAGGGTGTAGGCGGTAACTGCCGCAAGTTCAGGTGCCTTTGGGAGGAGCCGGGGTAGATACTAGTTTTCCCTGGGGTAGAATATGGCCCCGTTCTACTCTCCAGTAGCACCTTGACTGTCAGGGGAAAAGGTGAAAGGTGAAGATTCCAAGGCCATAGAAGTGTGAACTCTAAACCAGTG